TTAGGGCTTTAGGGTTTAGGGGGGGTTTAGGGTCGTTTAGGGTTTATAGGGCTTAAAGGGTTTCGGGTTTAGGGGTTTAGGGCTTTGGGGTCGTTTCGGGCTTTAGGGTTTAGGGTCGTTCAGGGTTTTAGGGTTTACAGGGTTTATAGGGTTTCAGGGTTTCAGGTAGGGTTTAGGGCTTTAGTGTTTTAGGGTTCAGGGCTTTAGGGGTTTAGGTGGTAAGGGTGGGCCCTAGTCCCTTAATCATTAGACTAGGGTTCCTTAAGGTTTATGGTCTCGGGACTCCTAAATTCAAGCGTTGACACGTGTTGCCAAAGTGCATTAATGATTCTTTTGAGGGCTGCTTGGGCTTTACAGTATCGGGTTAGGGTATTATGGCCGTTTAGCGTTTTTGGGTTTGGGGTTTTAGGGCCGTTTAGGGTTTAGGGTTGAGGGTTTCGGCCAGCGCAGAAGCGGGACGTTGAAAGGAGTTTGCTAGAGCTTGTAGATGATTCTTCGCAGGGCTGTGCAGGGTTTAAAAGTAGGACTTATGTTTTTGTTATGGAGCGGTTGGATTGCCTTTAGTGCTTTAGGTTTTTGAGTGTCTTTGCAAGAGGTTCTAAAGGTTCAGCAAGGGCATCTGAATGTCTCAAAACGGTTTTCGGGGCTCTCGGGCTTCGCTTTGGGGGTTTCGAAATTTAGGCTTTCTGTCATTTGTCCTTCGAGTTGTGAGATGGGCATGGATTTCTATCCAGGGCTTGGGGATCTTATACGGCGTGTCCAGCATGCTCAGGGCATCTTCACCCCGGTATGTCCATGCCTGTAGGACCGAATGACCCCCAGCGTGCGTGGGTCTTTACATCTTGTGCTACAAACCCTACACTACATGCGGTATGAACCAGCCCGCAAACCTAAACTCGAAGCCTCGCAAGTCCTGCCTTAAACCCAAACCCCAAACCCTAAACCCTAAACCTGAAACCCCAAACCCTGCACCCCTAGCCCGACAACCTAAGCTCGAAACCTCGCAACTCCTAAACCTTGGTTACAGGAGATCCATGTTGGCGGAGCCGGACCTGCAGCTGCAGAGAGGAGACGGGTTTAGCGGCTAGGGTTCAGCGTTCCTTTACGGGCTCTGTAGGGTTTCCAAACGGGTTCTAGAAGGTTCTAGAAGGAGCATAGGGTTTGGGGTTTAGGGGTTAGGAAGGACTCTGTGGTCAGATCTTCGTCCTCGGGCTAACCCTAAGGCGTCCTAAAGAACTAACCATTGTTATAGGTGCTTGAGTTTAGGACAATCTGATCGTCGTTTTTACCCAGATTCGGATTATAGGGGGGATATGACTATTGGACGAGGCGCTGGAAAGTGTCTGGGATTGGAGCGTCGGGGCTTAGGGCTGTTCCTATCCTTGAGGACCAAATGACCCTTAAAAGTAGGGGCCTTATTCCCATATGCGATGATTCCCTGTATGGTATATGAACCTTAAACCCGTTTAGGGTTCATTTCGTCCCTAAGGATTGAGCACCTCGAGACAAGAGGCGCAGATCTCCCTTGAGCCTACTTCCTTCAACCCACATCAACGGTCGGAATAGTGGGCCTGGCAGTTTGTATGTGTTGAGGGTTAGCTCAATCATGTATATGCATGCGTGGTTCCAGTTGAATCAAAGACACTCACTGACTGACTCACTCACTCACTCACTCACTCTCCCTCACTCTCCCTCACTCACTCTCTTCACCTTCTCTCTCACGCTCTCTGCCTCTCTCTCTCTCTCTGCCTCTCTCTCTCTCTCTCTTTGTCTCTCTCTCTCTCTCCTCAAATTCTCTCTCTCACTCTCTCTCTCTCTCTGCCCTGCTCCCTCTCGCTCTTTCTCTCGCACTCTCTCCTCTTTTTCGTACATATAGTATATGTATATAAATGCCGGCAGTGCCTCTTGGAGAGGAACCATTCCAGAGCACTGGCATGCAAAGCTTGCTGTGGTTTCGTACACGATTGCCCGAGTCGTCGCCAACTTGACTTCTGCAGTTCTCATTGGATGTGACGCGTCTGTATACGTTCCAATGATTTGCGATGGCTTGGTGAGACCAGTGGCTACAGGGTTCGGCGTATGTGTTTTGCAGCATCGCTTTGAGCGATTGTCCGAGCCGTCGCTGAATCTCTGGACCCCACTGGCCTTATACTGCCTCGCCTCTTGTCACTGCGATGTTGCCATGCTGTTGTGGGCAAAGAACGCGAGATTTGTCAGAGGAATGTTACTGTTACTGATTTCAATGTACGTTTGGGAAGTTTGTTGCAATGCCATACAGCTGCAGATGACAAACCTCAAGCTGCATGCGCTAGGCTTGCGGCGAACTGCGCGGGCTTGCCAGGTGCTGACTACGGCATTGCTTTGTGGGTGGGTTTTATTTTTTGTCGCGCTGGCTATCGTAGAACTCTGCAGGGGTAGCAATTGCAATATCGCCAGATACATCTATTCCTGGACGGGTTTGGGTTTCACTCGTCCCTTGCTGGGGCTGCTGCCCGGGATGGTGTTGCTGCTTCTGCTTCAATTCCTTGGATTGTGTGTTGCAGCTGGCAGGGCTTTGAGTCTCGGCTGGCACGATGCTGGTGTCGGGCATGCTGCGTGCCTACTTTTTGTCAACTCCATGTTGCAGCTCCTGGGCCCCGTTATCAGCGTGCGAGGGGCTATTGGGTTTGTGGACGGTCACATTAGTACTGACTCGCCTCAGAACACAGCTGAAGCTGCAGAATTGATGTGGCTGACCCTTGACATCAGCTTTCAGGTGTTGAATGTGCTGCTGTTGAGTGGCTTGCTCGGACCGGAGCAGTGGCAAAATCCTATGGCTGCCTTCGAAAAGCTCGCGAACCTCCAGGGATTCGGCTTGGCCTCAAAACGCATCGCCTTCTCTGGGCAGGTGAACGACAACGCCCGTGATTGCATCGTGTCCTTTCCTGGGAAGTACAGCGAGGAGTGGGACCAGGCTGTTCAAGTCGCGACGACCCAAGATGCCTTTTCTCTCGCGTGCGTGTTCCTCACAGACCGGGCGTCCGGATTGGGCGTACACTGCGACAACCCCAATGCCCCGGGACAGTGCTGGTGCCGCGCCATCTACGGGCACCTCCCTCCCTCCACGTACATAAGCGTGGTCGACATGCGCCCGGAGATGCAAGAATCCCAAGCTCCGATCGACTTGGAGTTCAAGCGTGCGGATGCGAAGGCCATGGGACAATGCCTCGCAACTTGGTTCGACTTCATTGTTAGCATTTGTCCAGGGTCAAGCCTCTTAGCCTCGTGCCTTTGGCTACCGCATAGAGGCATTCCAACCAAGGAGTGTATTTGTATGTGTACAGGGTTCCTCCTATCCTCCAACAACTTTACCAGAGTGTAGTCCGAGAGGCACGATTAGAACATGCACCCCAAGCTTTGAACCTAATATCTGTATCTACAACGTGTAGGTACTTAAACATGTGCATATTGTAAATATACAATATGTATATACACACATATAACTAGTGCATATGTGCTTATACAAGTGTATATGCACATGCACATATGAATACACATACGCATGCATTCGGACATACATGGATGCATGCGTGTGTCTGTGAATATGTGTATGATGTACATATGCATATGCATGTGCCTGCACGTATACATACAGGTAAACACTTTTCCCACACCTACACATGCACATATACATTCACTGTACATCGCACACATAACTATATTCGTGTACATGTGAATGAATGTGTACATATACAAACAGAAGTACACATACATACACATACACACAGACATATACACGTACATACACATATGTGTATATGTGCATGCACATAAATACTTGCATGCATGCAGCAACAAAGCTATATGAGCTTTACCTTAGTTGCGCATTCGCACAGATACATGCAAACATACACATCTACATACTTGCGTACATGCACGCATGCATACAGACAGGCTTACATGCATTCATACATACATACATACATACATACATACATACATACGTACATACATACATACATACATACATACATACATACATACATACATACATACACACATACACGCTTGCATACACACATGCATAGATCGTTGCCTACATACCTGCATACCTACATCCCTCATCCATGCAGCCATCCATCCATCCATCCATCCATCCATCCATCCATCCATCCATCCATCCATCCATCCATCCATCCATTTGTCGATTCATCCCTTCATCCGTCCGTCCATCCGTCCGTCCGTCTATCCGTCCATTCGTCCATCCACCCATCCGCCCACCCACCCGGCCACCCCTCCACCCACCCCTTCATCCACCCATCCACCCATCCATCCACCCATCGAGCCACCCACCCAGCCACCCCAACCCACCCATCCATCCATCCATCCATCCATCCATCCACCCACGCACCCATGCACCCTTGCACCCCTGCATTCTTGCACCCGTGCACCTGGATCCTTGCATCCTTGCATGCATGCAAACCTTGCAAATTCGGGTGGACAGGTCATCCGAGAGGAGCAGCATGGCGAGCTTGATTGGAAGCTGAAGCTCAGTGACGCCGAGGAGGACGCCCGCGCCCGCTGTGCCGCAAATCGTGGCCGAGCTCCATGGCTTAGCAGTGTTTTTGTTTCAATACAGGGCTTGAAAAGCACGGCTTCGAAGGGTTAATTTGGATCGTATAAGGGAAGTGCTTTGTTACCTCCTAGACTTTCAACCGGGTTTGATGGGGGTTGAGTATGGAGTTTAGTAGTAGCGCTGTAAAGGAAGCTATGGGTGCTGTTATCACAGAGCTCGAAGGCTCCCTGGGGCTGCCGCTGGTTCGAAGACTGGAGGAGGAGCCTTTGTGGGGTTTAGGGGCATTTTTTGTTTTGGAGTTTAGGGCCAAGTTTAGGGTTTATAGGGTTTAGGGCTTTGGGCTTAGGGTTTAGGGCTTAGGGTTAAGGGTTAAGGGTGTATAGGGTTTAGGGTTTAGGGTTTTGGGTTCAGGGTTTAGGGTTCAGGGTTTCGAGGTTTAGGCTGTAGAGTATATCGAAAGTTTTCGTTTTGCGGGCGGGAGGAGGAACCAAGGCTCCTCAAAGGCTTAGGGGTCCAAAGGTGTTTCGAACGGTTTTGCACTGGGATCAGGTTGTTTGATGACGGTCAATGAGGGTTGTACATGGTTGTATAACCTCCAGGGTCCCAAATAGATATACTTTGGCCTTAAAGTAGTCCCTATATATGTACTTTGGGGCCGATGTATTTACTGTTTGGGTACACGGACCACTAGGGTAAGGCCTCGTTGCAATCCTAAGGGCCCAAGCGCCTACCAAAGGGAGCCCATCAAAGTGCTCGAACAAGGATCGTTTACCCTAATCTGTCATGTAGGGCTCAGACAAATCATTCAGGGTGCTGGTGCATATCTTACGACATATTTTTGTTGGAAGGGGACTGAAGTGCAGTCCATGTTCAATATGAGCACTTACACGCTTAGAGAAGGAGCATGTCTTGACTACTGTACACACATTCTCGATGCCAAGGCTATCACGTAATACGTTTTTTTTTTTGCATAAATATAGGTTGATGTTTCTACCGGGCACCGAGCTAGATGCATCGCATGCTCTGCAAACGAACCCCGATAGACCGTTTGGGTTCAAGTTGTTCTACTCGAAAAGCAGCCCAGGAACGTGCATAAGGCCGCGGAGCTCAAACAAACTCTTCACGTCTTTTACTTCAGAGGCCTAAAGGGCCAGGGGAAGATGACGTGGGACGAGCTGCCCTCGGCGGAGGCGCGGGTGGTTGCCCCTGTCTTCAATTTGACGCTTTCGCTACAAAGCTTGGTTTCTGGGTGAACAGAGGCCCCATATAAATGTCCAGCAAGAAGATCTGGAGCACTAAACGTCTTCGTCGATGACGACAATGTCTGGCTCAGGCTTTCGATAAACTCTTGAACAACGGCAAATCTCAGGATGCTCATTATCAGCTTCAACCGGAACACCCTGAACTTACCTCAAATCCGGAGACCTCTCCACATAATCCTGATCTCTTTGTCGAAAACGGATTTCCTTCGCTCCACCCAAGTACCGGAACCTAAACTCCTGAACCCAGATCCTTCTCGAATCCAAAAAGACCTGCAGCTTGCAACTCAACCCTGGCATAGCCCACACCCCAGAAGTTCTCAAACTCCCAAGAGCCGGTTAGAGGCAAAGGCACGAGTCCGGCAGCAGAGTGGACTTGGTGCCTCACAAACCGCGGAGGTCGCTTACCTGGACAAACAAGGCTGGAGTCGGCGGATGAGTAGGGTTTAGGGTTTCGGTGTTCATTTGTATCTGCAGGGGTGCTTGTTTTTTTTCTACCCCAGCATTGGCTGCAAACCCGGCTCTTCGAATGATTAGACTTGCAAAGCATTGTCTAAAGCCTTCTAAACCGTCGTAGACCCTTGAAAGGACCGCCTAAAAACCCTGCAAGACTCGTTGGGTGATGGGACCTTCTGGGTTCGTTTCGTGCTTTGGTTTCTGGTGATAGGCAGCCCCGCTTCTGGCATCTCCGATTACTTTGTTCCCAACCTGGTGATCCAAAATCCTGCTGTTTCGAAGGCTAATATACCCTATAATTACAGGGTCATAACCTACTGTTTTGCAGGGTTTGGGGCTACAGGAACAGCTCTAAAGAATCTTGAGCCATGTAGAGTCCTGCTAGCTGCAAAGGTTTCGGCCCCAACCCCCAACCCTGAAAACCCCAGACCCGACTTAGACTCTCTATCAGACCTTTAATGCCCATTAATTGGGGGGTACAAGCTAAACCCAAAACCTAGGCCCTAAAACCTACACCTAAGCGGGTCCCGGTAAGCAATCTCCAAGCACACTTGCATGGCCCTATGCCGAATACTTTCAAACAACATGAGCCCTTAGGGTTCAGGGTTCAAGGTTTCGAAAGCTGGTCGGGCTTGCAGTAGGCATCGCCTACGTGGAACACGACATCGCTGAGTTCCAGGAGCTTGTCGATTTTGGAGTTTTGGAGTTTAGGCTGTGCAGGGTTTAGGCCTATAGGGCGTACGGGCGAGGGTTTAGGATTTACCTTTTAGGCTGTGCAGGGCTTTAAGATTTCGGGGCTGACCCGCGAGTAAGACAGGAAGGACTCCCTGGCACACAACAACTAACGTCGTTTAGTAGACGAGCCAGATAGAGCAGACCCAAAGGGTCCAAGGACTTTATGATCAGAAAAAGACTCTCTCCCAAATGCGAGCAATACTCCTGTCCTAAACCCCAGTACCTCATCAGGTCCTTTTAGACCCTCAGGGATCCCACCACTTTACTCTGAGTTATCTTTATGATTTATGCTGCTGGTGGAACACTACTTTGCGGACTTGACATTAAAGTACACCCCCGAACAACACAACAACAGCAGTTGTGCAAGAAGAGGCACGACACCGATGCCCTGGCACCAATAAGGGTCCCCAAACCCTTAGTCCTAAACCCTACCCTTAGCATCAAAATAGCCCAAAAGCCTTATATAATAGGGTGTTTGGGCCCAAGAGCCTTAAAATATGAGTCCTTAGAGGGTAAGGGTAAGCCGTTTTAATAGCCCCTGTTTCAAGCTTCCATGCAGGACTTAGTCTGCCCTCCGAGTCCTTCGCGATCCGGCGCCGACGCGTCGGCAGTGAATCCCTGATGAGCCTTGGACCTCATGGCTTCCGGCAGTTTAGGCTTTAGGGTCTAGGGCGAGAAGCACCCTGCAAAGCCGTAGCTACCCTGAATAAAGCCTGAAATACCAAATCCTAAGCAACCAACCCCAAACGAGAGGTCCCTAACCCCGCAACCCTAAACCCCCCAAAACGACAAAAGCCCCTCATAGTCCCTAACCCCTAAACCCACAACCCCCAAAAACAAGAGGCCCCAAAGCCCCCCATAGTCCGACTCCTATTCCCATAATCAAAGGGTCCAAAGTACCTATATGGTAGAACGTAGGGTTTCCATATTTGGAGGCCTTATCATGATTTGGGAAAGCATCCCCCATAACCCTAAACCCAAAACCCTAAACCCTAAACCCGTAAACCCTAAACAGTACCTAAGGCTTTGGATGCTAAGGGCAATCCGATTATCTTCATCTCCAGCCCAGGATGTGAACTCCGTCGATTGCTTCGAAGTTGAGAGAGTCTTAGGGTTTATAGGGCTCATAGGTTTTATAGGGCTTAGGGTTTAGGATATAGGGCTTTGGGCTTATAGGTTTATAGGGTTTAGAAGTTTAGAGTTAAGGCTTTAGGGTTTTGGGTTTTGGGTTAGGGTTTCCGTACAGATGGAGCCAAAGAAGCTCCTTCTCTGTACGCGTCCACGTCCCCCTGCCTTCACGCGTGTTCCTGTACGGATGCTGCAGGCTCATACATACAAGGACCCTGAACCTTAAACCCGAAGCCCTTATAGAACCCTTCTCGGAACCCTTATAGGAACCCGTGAAGGAACCCTTCAAGGGGACTTTAGGGCAGTTTGAGGGGGGAGCCAAAGAAGCTCATCTGGGAACCCATCAGCGGCGCTCAGAAAGGCAGAACCCTTTAAGGTTTCTAGAAACGGTTGATGATATAAATCCTGCATTACCCATAATAAAGAATATACCATAATTCCATACATAGTTGACGGTCCCTAAGGCAATGCAAGATTTTATATCATGAACAGAAGGTTCTACTGGGGTTTAAAGTTTAGGGTTCAGGGTTTAGGGCTTGGGGGGTGCCAGCTATGACGGATGTGTCTGGCTGGTTCGGATACTAGTATCCTTAAACCCTAAATCCCGACAAATCCCAAGACCCAATTCTAAGTTTCAGTCCGCATTGGGGGCTCCCGTTTGTGCAAGCCTCGCGACCGAAGCTCTGCACGAGGTGTCGGACTTTAGGAAAGGCCAATGACAGCCGAGGTAGGGGAACCACCTTGAAATTCTTCTTCTAGGGTTTATACATGTGAAACTGGTTCATCCGGTTTTAACGGGCCTCAATAAGGGGTTTAGTGGGGCTTTGGGGTTTCGGGTGTTGTGCATTTTGGGTGCTCAGGGACCCGGATTGGATCTTCAAAATTATTCCGTTCCAAGGCCGATGGGCTCTTTTCCAAACGGAAAGAGCGCGAGAGCATGAACGAGTCGTGCATTGCACCGCAGATCTATCAAGCCCCAAAGCGGAACCCAGCTCATATGCCTTGAGTTTGAAGCCGCCTTGCCAGTATCGTTTGGATATCGGGTAATCTACGGCGTTAGCGGCCTAAATTTCCAGGCAGTTAAACCAAAGCTTTCTGTTGCATATGAGAGAAGGTACCGCAAGGGATTTGGGGGGGGGGGGGCTCTGCAGCTCTTGTAGCACTCAGATCTCCAGCCATGACGAACACCGCTGACGGGATCGAGCTGCGGCCGCTGTGCGGCAGAGCTGACTCAGCCACCTGTCCGATTTGTCGAAGCTACGACCTAGCGATTCATAGCTAAAGCTTTGGGTCTCAATGACTACACTACATAAGGCTTTCGGGTTGTGCTTGAGTGTCTGGAGAGTTCTAGCTCAGACTCTAGAATGTCTTGGGTCTCTTTTTGCCATATCGATGAAAGGTGGTGAAAGGTGGTGTTTTTGGGCGAAGGCTCAGTGCGGCTGTGTGGGACTTCTGGAATAAACAGTGCAGCGAAGCTCTTGTTTAGTTTGTCGTCCCCGCCTTTGACCGTTTATCTTTCAATAGTATAGTAACACGTTGGGCTTTCTTACGTTCGGTGTAAAGAGAATTACTTAGCCTCTCCTCGCGGCCTCTGCGCGGAAAAGCTTCCCGATGCACGGCTCTTGCTGTGGTGCAGTGCATGTTTTGCCTTTGCGTGCGAATGGCTTAGGACAGGGGCCTCCGAAAATCCGGTTCATCGTTAATTCCGATACCTGAGCCATGTTTTGGCGTCCAAAACCTTGAATCGCAGCATTACTTGGGAGGAAAGGAATTTGGCCGTCCTTCCTAATACTGCCGGTGGGTGAAGGAAAGAGTTCTGGCCGCCTTCTCAAATCTTCCTGAATCCCTCGGCATTTGGGGGAAGCGTTCTTTGGTCCGTGGTACTTGGACGTAAGCCTTCTCGCCGAGCTTTTGATCCGTGCCAGTACTTGAGGGAAAGCGGTTTCGCTGTGTCTGGTCTGATCTCCTGTTGGTTTCCGGTGGTGTCCTGTCGGTTCTTGTGGGGTATCCTAGTCTGCGGCTGGTCGCTGGTTGGTCTCATGATCTCTGGTGGTCTCCTGGTTGTTGTCATGGTCGTCCTGGTCGTCGTGGTGTTCGTTCATTGTTTGGAGATCCGCGCTCGCATAATCGTAAGACTGTCACGACAAGTTTTACCACTTGGTACTTCCGATCATTGCTTTCTGAAAATCTGGAAGTCCTTAGTCGGCAGTCTTCTGCCCAAACGGGCCGCATGACTAGAAACTCATTCGAAGGCGAAAACCAGACGAGCAGACTTCAAGACCTTCAGCTCTAGCTCCTGATCTACTCGTTCGAAACCCTGAGATGATATTTCGGCATCCTACGCATTGAGCCGTAGAGCAAGCATACTTTGCATCCTGTAAGCCTTCAGCCCATGAAACGTCGTTTGGGCTCCCGGAAGCCGTGGCGTTCCAGGCTTCTGCCACTGTCGGGCATTGGTTCAATTTGTTGCGTTTCTTTCTGTGTTGCCAGTTTGTCTACGAGATCGGCGGTTTAAGTTTGTGGTTAGCCTTTTGGGATTTATACAAGTCTTTCCGCCGAAAACTTGGGTGGCTCAGAGCCCCGAAATGCCGAACGCGGGGAAATCTAGGCCAAAGCACGTCCCAAGTGACGTCCCTCTAAACCCAAAGCGAAAACCAAATCTTATGGGCTGATGACCCCCACTGCTAGGCCTCTAATCCCAAACCACAAATCCCAATACCCACGGGCTATAAAAGCTACAAATGAGTATCGAGTCTAATCTAAAACACCTTACTTGCAAGAAAAGAACATCTAACAAGGTAGCAATTGCTTGGGATCAGTTCCTCCTTACGGATACACTATTGTACACTGCTTACTCTAGGTCCTCCAAAAGTCGGATAGAGCTCGTTCAGCCTTCATAACACCTGGAAGCAATACTTGGAATTGAAGCCTACTACTACCCTAAACCCTAAACCCTAAACCCTAAACCCTAAACCCTAAACCCCTAAACCCTAAACCCTAAACCCTCAACATAAGCAAGCATAAGACTCCAAGCTTCAAGCCATTTAGTAGGGCCCTAGTTCTCCAAAGCCTTGTCAAACCGTCAAACCTTTGTGTAAGACTTTGAAAGTCGTACACAAAACGTGTAGAAAGCCTTTGCAACCATTCTATGAATGCCTTGGAAAAGCAGGAGATCCTCTTGAGAGTGGAAGCGAGGGACGGGCCGCGACAGCTTCCCAGCAGGAGGAGGAACTAGCGGGTTTACAGACAGGTGCCCAATTGTTGCAGAAGGCTGTCAAGGAGGGCCTTCACACAGCACCTAGATGTCCGGGTGAAGGCAATACAACATACACATGCTAGTATTGTCCGAACTGCCATGGATGCTGTTAGTACTGTTCGTTTGTTGTTGTATATGGTCAAGGTGATGCTTAAGCACGCGCACGAATGCGGCTACTCATGCATTTTGGCATGTGTGCATTTATACAGACATGCATGCATACAAACAAGCATGCATACACGCATACTTGCTCACTGCTTGCATGCATGCATGCATGCACGTATGTCTATAGGGTTCTAGAGGCATACAGGCAAAATACATGAACAGTACAGTCTTACTCATAGGTAGGTATGTATGTATGTATGCATGTATGTAGACATGCATGATTGTGTGTTGATGTATGTATGGAGGGATGCATGCACGCAGTTATGCTTGCACTTGTCTTGGATATGTGTATGCATGTGTAGTATGTGTAGGTGCATATGCACATGTGAATGTGTATGTGCAAGTGTTTTCGTGTGTTTTTGTGTATGGGCGCCTGAGTGTGCATCTGTGTGCGTGCATATGAATATGCAGACAGACAGACAGACAGACAGACAGCCAGACAGACAGACAGACGTACACACACACATATATACCCTAACCCTCCAGGTACCTACTATATAGGGTACCAGGGCCCCTAAGGCCCTATATAGTAGGTACCTGGAGGGTTAGGGTATATATATATATATATAGAAATTCGTATGTATGTCTCATGAATGTATTTACGTATGTGTGAATGTATGCATGTCAGAATGATGTATG